ACAACTCAGGCATAGTTCTTGGCAGCATGTTTAATTGAATGTCATAAAAATCTGCTAGTTCCTCCAATCGTTCGATGAAAGCAATCGGATCTGCTTCTCCGTCATATTTTATGGACCACTTCCGTACTTGGTCCATCACCATGGCATATACTGACTTAGGCATAGATGCACTTTCTCTGAGTTCTTCTGTTGGCGTCTTTGCTTGTATCAATGGCTCTTGGAAGGTTTCTTTGCCCACTACTCCTTCGAAGATGACTTTCCCATGCTTCTGTGACAAGCTTGTTAGCCGAGAAGTCACCTGCGTTAAATGCTCCATTCCAACGAATACTGATAGTCGTTTGCGGAGTTCCTCTACCGTTCCTGTTGAGTCCTCAGCGAATTCCTCAAGGTATTCAATCAGCTCATCTTTCTTCAGGTTTCGAATCCAGGCCTTACCCATTATTTTATTACGAAGTTTATTACGTTATATTCTGGGTCCCTGCTCGGGCGCCACTTGTAATGAACCTTTCTATCAGCCGAGGTTTCGCTCGCCGGATCCCAGAGTCGTTGGAAGAATATTTCTTTATAACCCTGAATCTTTTCGTATAATAATTTTAAGACCGGTTAATTTTATTTTAATTCCTTTATTTATTTTTTTTTTACAAATAAATTTTTACAATATGTATTACTTATTTACTAACAACATATATTGCAATTACCAATATTGAGAAATACTATAATTCCTGTAATAAATAAAAAAATCTGGCCAATGGTGGACTAGGAACAAACGCTACCGAAATTTGGCAAAATAATTACACTCAAAAAAAAAAAGAAGTGTTATCACTTAATTTATATTTTAATGAGGATTACATTTTTCTTTTTTTAATTTTTATTAAATTAATAATAACTTAATAATATTGATATTTTATGCTAACTTAATGATTCCTTAATTTCAAACTTATTAATATCTTAATTTTATTAATACCTTATACTAACATTTTGTTTTGCGTTTATACTAACTAATAATAAACCATTTCTTTCTCAACTAAAAATAGCTTAATTCTATTGTTGTCTTATTATATTTTTTATTGTTTTTTTTTTACCAGTTTTACATTAATAATAACATAACTTTGTTGTAAGCATAGTGCATTGCGATTTTTGTGGCGAGACAATAGAAGTCGTCACAAAGTAAAACCTTCGTTAGAAGATGCAGAGTATTTTACTTTGACGACAAATGCTACAAATTCTATTAAACAACAACAACTCCAAGAGATTTTGCCGTTAGTTAATGAAATCACGTCACATGCAAAAAACAGAGCACAAAAAAACAAACGAAAGAAAAAATGCTTTAGTTGCGGAGGCTCTCATCGACGTAGCGACTGCAAATTTAGAGAAGCTGTTTGCTATGAGTGCAATAAAGTAGTACATAAAGTAGTACAAAAGTGTGCTTGAGCAACAATAACAACAAAGCAAATACAAGAAAATTAAAGTTAGTTAGTTAGTTGTGGTGGAGAGAAAACGAATCCTCCTCAAATAGCTAAGGATGAAAGCCGTTTTGAATCCATAAAAACCTCGTAATAGTGGGTAGTAGATAGAAGGTCAAACTAGAACCAACCAGAGGCATTAATAAAGGCAAGAATCTGGCTAATGCTGATGCTGGAGATATCGCTAAATGAGTTGAAGAAAGGGGTCCCTAGAAACTTAAACCTTGTTCTGGCCAGACCTGGACAAAAACACATCAGGTGTTCTGGTGTCATTTCTTCAAGTATTAGTAGACACGCACTACATGAAGTACCACAGGGAAGGCCCAGCCTAGCTCCATGCCGTCCTATGGACCAGTGACCCGTAAAGACAGATATTAGCTTAGAAATCTCAGATTTGTTTCTACAGATTAAGTCAGAGGTTCTATATTTGGAATGGATTGGCCAAGTAGCCCTTGGCCTGGCTGCTGAGACAATAAGGGTTCACTCACTATTTGCCTGTCGCAAAAAATGGTCACAAATCAGTCTACGCCCGTAGCTGACACGGGCAGGGATCGAAATAGGGGTATCCGTGGAAGAGGCGCCTAGCTTAGCAACCTCGTCAGCGTGCTCATTTCCCACAATATTAGGATGCCCGGGAACCCATACTAGAGTAACGTTGGACCTCTCACTTAGTTCACTGATAAATTTTTTACATTCTTCTACTAATCTCAATGACAGACAGACAGCTGATAAAGCTTTAATAGCTAGTCAGGCAGCTATTAGTTAGAATGCAGACCTCTTTTCCGTGAAGGCGCATATTTAAAGCAATAACACTTGCCCTAAGGATAGCAAAAACTTTAGCTTGAAATATTGAAGTGGAATCTGAAAGGTGGTATGATTTACTAATCATTAGGTCCATAGAAAAGATTTTAGACCCGTCGGTGTAGACCGCTATCTTTCCTGGAGTTGTAAGCAATCCCGCCTCCCAATCCCCTCTTGAAGGAATTTTGGTGGCGAAGTTATTGTCGAATAGTAACCGAGGACATAGGTAGTCTGAATCCCTGCTATCATCTATCGGATAGAGTGATGCGATATTACCATGTCCTAAAGCAATCGAGAGCCAACAATTTAGATCTTTAAGCCTCTGCGCGCTGAGAGTAGCAGCTTGCTTGATGTAAATATCAATTGGTAGCAAGTTAAGTATGACATTGAGCGCACTGGTGGGGCAAGATCCTAGAGCCCCTGTAGCTCCTACACAGGCAGATCTTTGCATTCTGGTTAGTCTTTGAATAATGTACTGTTTGTTTAACGAAGGCCACCACACCAGACATCCATATGTTAATATTGGCCGAACGACGGCTGTGAGAATCACAGCCCAGAGAATCACTTAGGGCTGCAATCCCGAGCTCTTACCGTACATCCTTTTGCACGCATAAAATGCCACACAAGCTTTACGAATTCTTTCGTCAATGTTGGCTTTCCAGTTATAATAAGTTTTGTTTCAAGAATTACTCCTAGATACTTAACTTTGTGCGAAAGAGTTAATCTTTGGCCATTAAATCTTGGCAGCGGAAAATTTGGAATTTTATATTTTTTGGTAAACAGTAACAGTTCTGTCTTAGAAGGATTAACACCTACGTCACACTTTGAGGCCCATTTACTAAGGTTCAGAAAAGCGCCTTCCATGATGCTACTCAGCACCGAAGGGGAACATGCCTGTTACCAGAAGGACAACATCATCCGCATACGCTACTGCTTTGACTCCACCCTGGTTAAGCCTTAAAAGCAGTGAGTTCATTGTTAAAATCCATAATAAAGGAGATAGCACTCCCCCTTGTAGTGTACCCTTACTGACGCATTTCTTAATGCTAAGATTGCGCATCTCTGCATTGATGATTCTAAACCCAAGCATAGAAGCGATACATCGAGAGATGCAGGCCGGGATGTTCATTTCGCTGAGAGCATCCTGGATGGCTACCACACTGACGTTATTAAAAGCTCCTTCTATATCCAAGAAGGCGGCTAAGGTAAATTGTTTACATCCAAGAGATTTCTCCACCACAGTAACAACCTCATGTAGCGCCGTTTCTGTGGACTTCCCTTTGAGATATGCATGTTGAGCCCTTGATATTTTAGCGAAACTGTGTAAAGATCTGATGTAAGCATCGATCAGTCTTTCAATAGTTTTAAGTTAGAATGAAGTAAGGCTGATGGGTCTATAATTTTTAGCCGTTCTGTGGCCTGTTCTACCTGCTTTTGGAATAAAAACTACTCTAACTTGTCTCCAGCCGCTGGGGACATGATTAAGATGATACAACTGACTGTATAGTCTCGCCAGAATTGGCATAACGATACGGCTATACCTTTGGGGGATCACCCGAGGAACCAGAAAAATGGGTATCTACTAATAGTGAGAGAGATTCCGTTAGGGATTTAACTGGATTTCCATCTACTTTGTTAATGAGAGAGGGACAAGAGTGGCCATTTGCTAGCAGTTTGGCTAGTCTAGCCGATTCTTTAATGCTTTCAAATTGCTGGCAATGAGAATTCTATGACAATTTCTTGGATTCCCGAAGTGCTTTTTTGTAAACCCTAAGAGCATCCTTATATGGAGTCCAAACCTGGGTCGGATAGCTTTCGTTGAAAGCTCTTCTTGCATTCCTGCGGAGCAAAGAGAGCTTCTCGTTCCACCATGGTGGCCTACACTTCTTCGCATACGAGCGAGGACATGATGCTTCAAAGGAAGAAATAATATTATTTGTCAAAGAGTTGACCCTACACTCCAATTCCCTAATCGAGTTAATTGGAGCGGGGGCTATGTTGATTTTGCTACTGAGCAATGACCTGAAAGTATCCCAGTTTGTCTTCCTGGGATTACGGTGAGATTGCTTAGCTACCATGGGAATATCCATCACAAACATGATATATCTATGATCAGAGAAGGAGTTCCTGGCTGAAACTCTCCAATCATTGATCGTTAAAGAGCACGAAGTCGAACAAAGGATAATATCTAAAACCTCTTCCCAGCCTATATGATTATCCGTACTCGGAAAAATGAAGGTGGGAGTATTACCCTTATTACACACCTCTAGATTACATCTTAATATAAAATCAAAAAGAGACTCATCTCTATCGTTAATTTCCGAGCTTCCACCAATCAGCAAGGCTAGCTTTTCGGTCTGCGCGAAATTTTGGACTAGTAGTACCTCCTCTGCAGCTGCCTCATCATCGTGTGGCATATAGACGGATGTTACTAAAACCGCAGGTTTTAGCTTCCGCTCTATCCGGATGGTGGTGATATCTAAAGAGCTTAAATGAGAGCAGAGAAAAGCATTAAGGTACGTTTTTGCTAAAATGCACGATCTAGGCTTATCCTGTCCTTTTTCATAAAAAAGATTATACCCATTGATGTTGAGCCCTTTGACACATGAGCTATGAACCCAGGGCTCTTGGATGATGGCAAGGTCGATGTCCTCCTCCCTGAGTAAGACAGCCAGATTGTCCGTGGCACACTTAGAGTGTTTCAGGTTTATCCGCACGACCTTGACCATTGATACATCAACAAGATTTGTTATCGATGATGAGGTCATCTAGCAGCTTACTAGTGCCCTCACCCAAAATATTATCCGGTGGCGCATTTTTGAAGATTTTAATTTTTGCCTTCCGGATGCCGTAACGCAGCTTGCAGTCATTAGCCTCAATGACTGGCAAGCATTCTTCGTTGATTAGAAGTAGGTATGATTGGCTGTGTTTTTGCGGTTCTTCGGTCTTGAGAACCGACCAGGCTTCCATCTGGATTTCTGGATTTTGTAGCTTTAGCTGCTGCAGAATAAGGTCAGGAGGACCTAGATTTTTAGGTAAACATACGCGCGCTCGAGGCCTCGATGGAATTTCCGCCGCAGGGACAAGTTTGAGCTTTAAACCGTCCCAGTTCTCACTAATCTTAGTGATCGCCTTGCTGAGAAAACTCCGCGAATACTCGTCCTCGCATCTTATCACTCGATGACTACGGACGATATCTGCACAGTCGAAAGAAGGAACGAACCCCGGATTAGTCATGAGCTCTGCCATAACCAATTCGGACAGTTTGGTCTCAATCAGCGCCCACCTCTCCGTCAGCAGCTTGCTGTTAGAGTTATGTTCGTCAATCAAGGCCACACTGAGATGGTCTCTCGCCACTTCACTGAAGGGACGAGTAGCTTGTGCCGGTCTTGACATTAGCTTCCCATCCTCCGTTCCATCTTTGTGCCGCTTCGCCTCCTTGCCGGAATCTTCCTGAGATCTCTTACGCTTGCCGCCATCTCCGACGTTCTTGCCAGTGATAACAGACTGGCACAGACCTTCATCATGAAGATACTCCTCCATAATGGCGCGGCATTTAACAGCGACGGCTTCGTCTCGTTCATGGACCTTGCCTTCTTTTTTATTGCTCTCAATTTTTCTGAGCATAAAAAGCGCCCGCTGATATCGACTTTTGCGTGCCATGTTGGCCGTTTTTTTTCAAGATTTAGCATTGCCCTTACTGCTAAGACTGGCGGTTTTAAGCGTTGGCGTGCGGTTGGCACACGGTCTTCTTTGACTGGTAGACGGAATGCTGTCGATTTTTTTGGATGTTAATTGGATTGAGTTAGACGCCGGTGTACTGTGACTGGTACAACCGGTATTGGAATCGGCAACGATCTCGTCGTCCGATTTCAGCAATTCGTCCTCCGTAAGTTTAGTGGGTTTATACTCTCCAGCCACGAGTTCCGAGACATTATCGGAAGAATTCATATCATATGCATAATCGTCCACCTTACCCGAAAAGACAGGCGCGGCGGACCCGAGGAGAGTTGGACAAAACAAGCGACCACCACAGCAGCGTCCCTTACCATGGCTAGAACACAGTTACTCCCCAAGGCCGTCATATATTGGAGAGGCTCCGCAAAAATACAGTCGGACAGACCCCTTGGCTGCAAACCTACACTCGGTGAGCACGGATCGCGTAACGCTCCAGAATTAAGGGGACCATCAAACCATTATCAGAAAATATTGAGTGGTGTGCAGCTATTGAAGAGCTAAGGACATTCACTCAATTCCTCCTGATCTTAGCTGGGCACCGTCCTGACAACGTACAGGACGAGAGAATTGTGTGACCCATTTCCAGACGGCACCCTAGTGGAGGGTTCAGTAGAAGGATTCCAAGAAAATCCAAGTCACAGCGAAAAAAAATGAAAAGAACAGTGCACAAGCAAACGCAATAGAAGTTATTGAAAGTGTTTATAATACGACAGAAGAAAAAGTAAAAGATAAAAAGAAAAACATATTAATGTGAAAATTTTATATAAAACAATAATTTTTCAAACGGATTTAAGTTCATCGGTTTCGGACATAACACAAAATACATTTAATCAATTAGGCAGGCCAAAACTTCGAAGTTGCACACGTCCAATTTATGGTTACGGTAAAAAGGTGATAGAAAACTTAGGCGAATGCGAAACACAAATAAAATGTGCAAAATTAGTAAAAGAAGCAGTGTTAGTTGTTGCTAAAGTCGATTTATTTGAGATTTTTGATTTCGATATTGTGCAGGTTAATAATATTATTCAAAACTCAATGATGTTAGAAGAAGAATCTAAAAAGTTATTTACAAATTACCAATATGTTTTGAACCTGCAACAGGTCCGATTTCTTATTTTAAAGCGAGCATTAAATTAAAGTCAATAGCGGTACAAAAATATTTTATATGTCGTCAGGTGCCATTCGCGCTACTTGAAAAATTTAACGTAGAAACTGATCGACTAGTGCAAAACGGTATTTGGAAACGTGTTAAGTTCAGCAATTGGGCTTCTCCAATCGTTCTCGCACCAAAGCAGGACTGCAGTATTCGTATTTGCGGGGACTTTAATGTAACTATTAATAATCAAATCGAAATTGAACGTTTTCCATTACCTACACGGGATCAGTTATTTTATAAAATTCGCTATAGCCATATTTTCTCTAAAATTGATTTAAAAGATGCATACTTACAGCTTGAGTTAGACGAAGACTCAAAAAAGCTGGTTGTCGTGAAAACACCAAATGAACTGTACGAGTACCAAAGATTGTCCTATAGTATAGCTTGTGCGCCGACAATATTTCAAAGATATCTGGAACAAATTTTGCAAGGTATCGACGGGTGTGGGAATTACCCCGATGACATCATCGTTGCGTCAACCACTTTACAGGAACATGTACAACGACTAGATTAGGTTTTTTCGATACTTAAGAACTATGGCATCAGGTGCAAACAGAACAAATGCATTTTTTGTTTAAAACCACATTGATTACTTAGCGTATATGCGCAGAACGCATTTTGCCTGAACCATCAGAAGTAACAGTCGTTCAAAACTTAAAACGGCCTGAAAATCTCAAAGAAGTGGAAGCTCTACTGGGTAAGATAAACTATTATTATAATTATATTCCAAATATGTCGCAAATCGCTGCTCCGATAAATCAACTTCGCAAGAAAAATATTCGTTTTTTATCGAACACACATACATGAACGCCCAATTGCATTCGCATCAAAGACATTCAACGTTCATCAAGTAAGGTACAGTCAAATAGAAAAGGAGGGGCTTGTATTTTAAGAGCACATTTACAAATCCTAAAAATGGTACAATCTGGCGTCGTATAAACATAAAAAAAAAAAAAATATTGTTTGATGGAATGGCAAACAATATTGAATAAAATGCGCTTACTAAAAGAAACGTTTAACAAGTCATATTGCAATAGATAGACCTATTTTGAAGGTAAACCAAAAACTCTAGATCTCCAAAGATTTTCCTTGCTTCTGCTTTGTGTGCGGTTGTGAGCCCATCAAAGTCTACGTTTAAAAGTACTCGAATACTTTCCAAACTTTGTATTAACAACGTACAGTATTTGTGTAGTGTTGCAGCGCTTATAGGTCTATCTATTGCAATATTTACTACTTACTACTCATTTACTACTCATTACTATTTACTACTCATTAAGTACATTGGCTTCAGGCTAATTAAAATTGGCTTCTTAGACATACATTTCCAAATAAAATTAAATAATGAATACAAAATATATATAATATATGAAATATAATTAATAAATAAATGTTTGTTAAATACAGTTGATTTTAATGGAAAAGTAAGCTTTTCGTTAACGTTAAAATAAAATTGATATATTCAAGGTTAACAAAAAAAAATCACTTACCTGTATAAAAAGTATTTGAAGTCTTAAAATTATTTATATAAAATACTTTTATAATAAAATATATTTGTATAACAAAATTATATATATGTATAACTATATATATATATAATAAAATTATTTTATTCTTTTTTTTAAAAAAATTTTTTTTTTGAATTAAATCTAAAAATTTTCAATTTTATTAGTTTTTAAGCAATTCTAATATGATTTAATTTTATTTGTGTTCTTGTCTTATAAATTTGTATTTATTATGGTTTCTTATTTTTTTTAAAGTAATTTCCAGAGCTTTTGAGAACGTATGCATAAAAATAAAAATATATTAAAAAACTAGCTGACCCGGCTAACGTTGTATCCCCTTGCAATTTATTGTCCTTGCTCAGCAGAGTTGTAATATTTGTTGTTATTTGAATATCTGTGTAGATAAAGAGATTGTCAGGTTTAACCGTGTAATCCATGTCTAGAATTAAATCGCATGATTTTAAGGATAAAGCCTTAAAGCAATAAAGCAATAAGCAATGTTAGTAGTGTCCGTTTATGTTAACTTAACTTTTAGCATTTTAATGCGAAAATTATTATTTTTTTTTTATTATTTTTTTTTATTATTCCATTGATATTACAACTATCTGAGATATCTAGTCATATTTTTAACAAATGAAAATTTGGAAGTTTCAGTTATCTTAAATCATCATCTAATATAATATGTTAATGATAATGATATATTTTATACAAATTTCAATATATTTCATAAATAATTAGATAAATAAATACATAAGTAAATAAAATAAATAAATAAATAAATAGATAAATAAATACATAAGTAAATGAATAAGTAAATAAAATAAATAAATAAATAATAAATAAATAGGATAAATACATAAATAATAAATATGAATAATAAATTAATAAACATAAATTAAAATAAAGGATTCAACTTAATTTAATACTTAATACTTAAGTATGTTGGAAGTGTACGTTTAAGACGTTTTTTGTACCCTAGTTGCAAGGCAGGAAGTCTTCTCATTTCTAGGTTTGAATGCTGAAGCAATTTAGATAAGTGGTTAGCACTGCTTTTTTGAATTGCTTCGTGTACAGTAGGGATATTTAAGTCTTTGTGAATATCGTCGTTTCTGATGTACCATCTAGCATCTACTATCGTTCGCAGGATTTTTGATTGGAGTCTTTAGTATTTATATAAGTCTTGCAGGTGGTTACCAGATCGGAACAATAATAGTTTTGTAAATTAGTAGTTTGTTATCTATTGACAGACTGAAATTTTTACGAAGAAGCCAATATAGATCTGCAAATCTTCGATGAGCTTCCTTTTTCTTCTGAATTATGTGCTCCTTCCAAGTCAGCTTTTGGTCTAATAGCGTGCTCAAGTATTTGGCTTTCTTGCAGATTGGTATATCAATGTTAACAATTTTCAGTTTCTGTTCTTCAAATTTCCTGTTGGTGAAAATAACTTGGACAGTTTTTTCGGCGTTTATCTTTATCCCCCAGGTGTCAGACCAATGCATCACTTCGTTAAGATGATTTTGAAAGTTTACAGTTGCTCTAATGATATCATGGTTCGTTGATAAAAGTCCAGTGTCGTCAGCAAACGTTACAGTTAGTATTTCTCCACTTTTTGGCTTAGGAATGTCTGCAGTGTGTAATAGATATAGGATCGGGCCTAATACACTCCCTTGAGAGACACCGGCTTCTGTTTTTATCATGTGGGATGTGTTGTTTTGATATTGCACAAAGAAGTATCTATCTTTAAGAAGCTACCTTTAAGGCGCTACTTCAGTAGTAAATAAAAATAGGCGGGCAATATTCTTGATAGTTTGTGAAGCAATCCTTCGTGCCATACGCTGTCGAATGCCTTAGCTACGTCTAAAAACACACCCACAGTGATCTTCTTAGAGTCTATATTCATTGCAATTTTACTAGCCACCCGATGAATTTGGTGAATAGTAGAATGCTTTTTACGAAATCCAAATTGGTGATTTGGCAATAGGTTGTTTTCCTGTATTATTGGTTCCAATCGGGAGAAAAGAAGATTTTCAAATAGTTTGTAAGATAGATAATAAACTGATCGGTCTGTAAGATTTGACAATTGAAGCATTTTTGTTTGGTTTAGATATTGCTACTTTCCAAACAGAAGGGAAAATCTTATTGCTGATCATGCAGTTAAAAATGTTTCTAATGTAAATAATAGCTATTACAGGTAATTCTAAAAGAAATTTGCCAGATATCTCATCATAGCCTGGTGATTTTTTTGGGTTGATGTTAACGGCGATGTAGTTTTTTATTTCAGCAATTGTTGTTTTCTTAATTTTAACATTCTTCTGGGTCAGGTTCTTGGGTAATGCATGGTTTGTACCATTTTTAGGATATGTGAATGTGCTCTTAAAATACAAGCCCCTCCTTTTCTATTTGACTGTACCTTACTTGATGAACGTTGAATGTCTTTGATGCGAATGCAATTGGGCGTTCGCTGCCGTCTGCGAAGATATGCGAAATTACTGCACCAATACCCGATGAAGAAGCGTCTGTAGCGAGAATTATTGGTAAGTGCTCCTGAAAGTGAACTAATTGTGTAGCGTTTACAATATGCTTCTTTAAAAAGTTGAACGCCTCTTCATGTATGTGTGTTCAATGAAAACGAATATTTTTCTTGCGAAATTGATTTATCGGAGCAGCGATTTGCGATATATTTGGAATATAATTATAATAATAGTTTATCTTACCCATTAGAGCTTCCACTTCTTTGAGATTTTCAGGCCGTTTTAAGTTTTGAACGATTGTTACTCCTGATGGTTCAGGCAAAATGCGTTCTGCGCTTATACGCTAAGTAATCAATGTGGTTTTAAACAAAAAATGCATTTGTTCTGTTTGCACCTGATGCCATAGTTCTTAAGTATCGAAAAAACCTAATCTAGTCGTTGTACATGTTCCTGTAAAGTGGTTGACGCAACGATGATGTCATCGGGGTAATTCCCACACCCGTCGATACCTTGCAAAATTTGTTCCAGATATCTTTGAAATATTGTCGGCGCACAAGCTATACTATAGGACAATCTTTGGTACTCGTACAGTTCATTTGGTGTTTTCACGACAACCAGCTTTTTTGAGTCTTCGTCTAACTCAAGCTGTAAGTATGCATCTTTTAAATCAATTTTAGAGAAAATATGGCTATAGCGAATTTTATAAAATAACTGATCCCGTGTAGGTAATGGAAAACGTTCAATTTCGATTTGATTATTAATAGTTACATTAAAGTCCCCGCAAATACGAATACTGCAGTCCTGCTTTGGTGCGAGAACGATTGGAGAAGCCCAATTGCTGAACTTAACACGTTTCCAAATACCGTTTTGCACTAGTCGATCAGTTTCTACGTTAAATTTTTCAAGTAGCGCGAATGGCACCTGACGACATATAAAATATTTTTGTACCGCTATTGACTTTAATTTAATGCTCGCTTTAAAATAAGAAATCGGACCTGTTGCAGGTTCAAAACATATTGGTAATTTGTAAATAACTTTTTAGATTCTTCTTCTAACATCATTGAGTTTTGAATAATATTATTAACCTGCACAATATCGAAATTAAAAATCTCAAATAAATCCATGCCAAATAAATTTTGACCACTTTCGACTTTAGCAACAACTAGCACTGCTTCTTTTACTAATTTTGCACATTTTATTTGTGTTTCGCATTCGCCTAAGTTTTCTATCACCTTTTTACCGTAACCATAAATTGGACGTGTGCAACTTCGGAGTTTTGGCCTGCCTAATTGATTAAATGTATTTTGTGTTATGTCCGAAACCGATGAACCTAAATCCATTTGAAAAATTATTGTCTTATTTAAAATTTTCACATTAATATGTTTTTCTTTTTATCTTTTACTTTTTCTTCTGTCGTATTATAAACACTTTCAATAACTTCTATTGCGTTTGCTTGTGCACTGTTCTTTTCATTTATTTTCGCTGTGACTTTTAATTTTCTTGTATTTGCTTTATTGTTATTGTTGCTCAAGCACACTTTTGCGATATGTACTACTTTATTGCACTCATAGCAAACAGCTTCTCTAAATTTGCAGTCGCTACGTCGATAAGAGCCTCCGCAACTAAAGCATTTTTCTTTCGTTTGTCTTTTTGTGTTCTGTTTTTTGCATGTGACGTGATTTCATTAACTAACAGCAAAATATCTTGGAGTTGTTGTTGTTTAATAGAATTTGTAGCATTTGTCGTCGAAGTAAAATACTCTGCATCTTCCAACGTAGGTTTTACTTTGTGACGACTTCTACCATCTCGCCACAAAAATCGCAATGCACTATGCATACAACAAAGTTATTATGGTATTATTAATGCAAAACTGTTAAAGAAAACAACAATAAAAAAATATAATAAAACAACAATAGAATTAAGCTATTTTTAGTTGAGAAAGAAATGGTTTATTATTAGTTAGTATAAACGCAAAACAAAATGTTAGTATAAGGTATTAATAAAATTAAGATATTAATAAGTTTAAAATTAAGGTATTATTAAATTGGCATAAAATATCAATATTATTAAGTTATTATTAATTTAATAAAAATTAAAAAAAGAAAAATGTAATCCTCCTTAAAATATAAATTAAGTGATAACACTTCTTTTTTTTTTGAGTGTATTATTTTGCCAAATTTTCAATAAATGTTTGCTGCAAACAACAACAGTAAACATACCAGCCGCAGGCATTTAAAATAGGCAATAACAACTTAGAAGAAAGCTACACCATGTGCATTCGGCAGTTAGAAGTCCCGTTTCGAAAGATTTATATAAAAGAAGGAGTAAATCAACGTAAAGACACTTGATCACAGGCCACGGAGCAGAACACTTCGCAGAACCAAAGGTAATATTCAACAAGGTAACTAAGAAATTTATTAACATTGCTTCCTAGTCCACCAGTGTAGCCCAGTCGGTAACACTGATCCTTAGCAACGCAGCCTTGTCGGTAGCGTTGGAAGCTACTGCAGTACGCTTTGTGAAAACGTAGTTAAAAGGTCACTGCAGAAACCTTTTAACCAATGAAACAACTTTCATGGCCATTATAAACAGACTACGCAATACCATAAAAGGAGAATCAGTCGAAGCTATGTGACGGTAAAAAAAGTAACTGCAAAAATAATGAATATAAAGCAGCAAAATAAGGCTGCAAACCTCTACACGAAAGAGATTGAAGAACTCATTAAATCTCTTGAAAGCGCCTATATTTCGGATAGAATACCCATGGAAACAGCATGCAAATATGCAACTCAAACAGCTGTTAAGGCAATGGCAAAGAACGAACGAGTTAAACTCATAATGGAAGCAGATAAATTCGATAAGATGAACGAAGCAAATTCAAATTCGTCAACACTTGTACTGAAATGATTGGCTTTGGCCAATCAGTACTTCATTATAGAAGTGTTAACAAAGACCATAATAGAGACACTAACTTCCGTACAGAGGAAGAGGCCAATATAATAACAATTATATCCGTCAAAACAATAATTACAATTATAGACAAAGACACAATATCTGCACTATCCATCAAAACGATGATGGGACGGAAAACATAGTAACCTCAAGTACTCAAAAAAAAAATGTCTTTAATATTAATTTAAGTCTAAGTAGTTTCATCTCCACCCATACAAGTATAAATAATGCCGTATCAGTATTTCTAGTAGACACTGGTGCCGACATTTCACTAATTAAGCAAAACTCAATTTCTTTTGGTAAAATTAAAGAGACTAATAAAACTAGCCTTAACGGCATAGGACATGGGACAATAACAACGTTAGGAACCATCACCTTCGATTTAAGAGTTAGAAATACTCTGATAAAACACAATTTTCATGTCGTAGAAAACAATTTCCTAATCCCAACAGATGGTATAATAGAATTGGATTTCATAAAAAAGTACAACTGTATACTCGATTATCAAAACAACGGAGATTGAATCATACTGAGGCCAGACGATTAGCCAGAGGACATTGCAATTCCAGTACGCAATGCACCAAAATGCAATGCTTTATCATTGCCAGCCAGGTCTCAAGTGATATGGAGTATTAAAATAGAACCTACGTCAGAGGACATATTAGTCCCAAATCAAGAATTAGCCAAAGGGATATTAATTGTCAATACCATAGTCAATACATCAAATATATTTATTAGAATAATAAACACTACAAATGAAAATGTTGTTATTGAGAATTATCAAATCAAACCACAAAGTTTACAAAATTACGAATGCATAGTATCTAGTGAATCCCATCATTCTTGCAAAAAAGAAGAAAAATTGGAAAAATTATCTAAAAATTACCACAGGTTGTTAAAGACAAACTAAAAACCCTATGTAAAAAATATATAGATATTTTTGCATTAGAAATAGAGAAAATTTCAGTCAATAATTTTTATAAACAAAAATTAAGATTAACGGATGACGAACCTGTTTATGTATATTAAAAACTATAGAATACCGCATAGCCAAAAATATGAAATCTACAGACAAGTAGATAAATTGATTAAAGACGATATAATAAAACCTTCCGTTTCAGCCTATAACAGCCCAATTCTATTAGTACCGAAAGACTCTTTGCCCGGTACAAATGATAAACGATGGAGACAAGTAGTGGAATACAGGAGAATAAATAAAAACTCATTGCCGATAAATTTCCCTTACCAAGAATTGACGATATCTTAGATCAATTAGGCAGAGCAAAATATTTCTTTTGCCTTAATCTAATGTCTGGTTTTCATCAAATTGAATTTGATGAAATGTCAAGGAATGTTTCGTCATTTTCCACAGACAAATATTATTTAGGTTCAAAAGATTTCATTCATTTTTTTTCAATCCATATGGATTGAACCCTGGTAAATGTTCTTTCTTCAGTCACGAAGTGATTTTCTGGGACATAAATGTACAGATAAAGGGATTCTGCCTGATGACAGAAAATGTTCGGTAATTCTAAATTATCCAACACCAAAAAATGATAATGAAGCTAAACGCTTCGTAGTGTTCTGTAATTATTACAGACGCTTCGTACCTAATTTTGCTAAATCAGCACATCACATAACAAAGTTATGTAAAAAGAACGTTCCATTTGTATGGAGCTCCGAATGTGAAACAGCATTCAACTATCTAAAAAACCAATTAATAAATTCCGAAATCTTACAATACCCAGATTTTCAAAAAGGGTTCTGCATTACAACAGATGCTAGCAAATACGCCTGCGGGGCAATATTAAGCCAAGAATATCAGCAAACGCAATTACATGTGGCATACGCATCCAGAGCTTTCACATCAGGTGAAGGTAATAAGTCCACTATTGAGCAGGAATTAACTGCTATACATTGGGCAATCAATTACTTTCAACCTTACATATATGATACAAAATTTTTAGTTCGAAGTGATCACAGACCACTTTCTTACTTATTTTCACTCAAAAATCCATCGTCAACATTAACTAGAATGAGGCTGGACTTATAAGAATATGATTTCGTCTTAGAGTAATTGAGAGGAAAACAAAACCACGTTGCTGTTGCTTTGTCAAGAATCGACTTCAAGAACACCAGAGAATCAAAATGTATTACAAATATAGCTATCATCACCATACAGCAAAGTAAAAAAATAAATAAGGTCGGAGTTGACAAAGTTGAAGTCGCTAAAAATAACGATAAAATAGTAGGTCCCATAGTTTATGAAGCGCTTGACAAAAACGAATATAAACGACATGTCACCCTAGTTCTGGAAAATCAAAAGATTTATTTCAAAAAAGGTCGACAGACACTTAGTGAAATTAACGTAAGTAACCTTTTGACTCAAGAAAAAATTGACTTAGGACAATTCTTTTCTGTGCAATAATGACATACAGCGAGTGATGAAAGACAGTTCTGTTAATGATGACCACCCAGAAATTCGTCGTACTCTTGATAAAATATAAGAACGATATGTCTGGAAAAATATGACCCAACATATCAGAAACTATGTTAAGCACTGCAAACAGTGTTTAAAAAATAAAGTAATACGTAACACAAGCGAAAAGTTAATTATAACTCCTACACCAATGAAGACCTTCGATACTACATTAATAGACACGATAGGCTCATTGCTAAGAATAGAGCACGGCAATGAATATGCAATAACAATAATATGCGAGCTAACTAAATACTTAGTTTTAATTCCAGTTACAAGTAAGCACGCGAAAGTTATTGCAAAAGAAATATTTGAAAATTTTATAATATCGTACGGCCCGATGAATAACTGATAAATAACTAAGTACAAAAATCAAATATTCCAGGAGATCACTAAACTTTTGAAAATTGAAAATATTTATTCTACACCATATCACCATCAAACTTCAGGAACGGTGGAAAAGAGCTATCGGACCTTCAGTGAATATATGAGATAATATTTATCAGTTGATAGATCCGATTGGAACGAATGGTGTAAATATTTTCAATATTGTTACAATACCACTCCTTCTTCAATACACGGATATTGCCCATTCGAATTAGTGTTTGGGAAAATTCCAAATGAATTTGACTTTGTAGGCGAAAAGGATATATAACTTTGACGCTTACGATAAAAAGCTCAAATTTAAGCTGCAGCATGCAACTGATCGAGCTCGAAGGTTGGTCGAGAAATCAAAATACCAACAAAAACAATTTTACGATAGAAAAGAAAATAATCTTAACTTAGAAATAGGAAATAAAATTTAATTAATAAGTGAAATAGGACATAAGAAAGAAAATAAATATGAGGTTATAAGTATAGATGATAGAAATAACTGTAGAATTAGAGCCAAGAATTTTCCCATTATTA